TGCCAGTCTCGTCTGCAGCTGCACGTGTGCAGCATCCCTGCTCCCCCGCGTCCACAGCCCTTCCAGTGCAGATAAGGGAGCAGTGCTCCCCAAAGGGACCGGCCAGGCGTTTTCCAGCCTCCAAGCCCAGCAGCTTCCTGGGCCATGCCGCTCATCTCCCGGTCCCCTCCCCACACTGAGCAGTCACGTTTAGGCAGTCCCGCATGATATCTGCGGGTCCTGCACTGCAACTGGCACTGCCAGCAAAGCTCTGACCAAACACCCCGCACCCCTGAGGGAGGGAACGTGGGGAGTTTCCAGCAGGCTCGCACGGGAGGAGTAAATACATCTACTTAGCTGAAGCAAATCCTTGCAGCATAAACAAAGAGGGACACGTTTATTCTTCACCCCATTCACAACACAACAAATACTTACTTCAAGTGAGCAGCTGGTTAGTTAGAGCTTTGTCTAATGCTGGGTTTGATCTACCAACCATTTGGGCAAGAGAGTTGTTTTATATATTTATGGTCATGAACTGAGCTCCAAAGGCTATAAGAGAGCCCTGAAACAAATCTAAGCATGGGAAATATTCTGGAAGCATCAAAAGTCACAATTGGTCTCTCTTTGGGAAGGATGCAGCCTGCCTATCCATAACCACATCACACGGGCCACATCAAGCCATGCTAATGGCAGGGGTGAGCACACCCAGCAACACCAAGCACGGCAACAGAAATACTTATAATTATGACTTTGTGTCTTTTGTCTATGGGTTGCAAAACACATGAAAATAGTTAGGCATCTCTCCACACCCTTACAGGTAACACTTTGTCAGTGTTCGCCCTGGGAAGATGAAGCACATAACAAGTCCAGGACAGATGCTGAGAGCCTGCGTCTCTGTGTTTAGCCACAAAACTATGTCCCTCTTACGGCACAGCGATGCCTCTTCCAGTCCCTCCTTGCCATAAATAGAGACAGTGAACAACTGCTTGCACTGAGAGAGCGGATTTAGTTCTGGATGTTTGTCAGACTTTCCAGTGGGCTGGGGCAGCTCCCTCAGCCAGACTGTTTGCACTTTTAACTTTATCAAAATGCTTTTCCCCCTCCTCCCCACCCATTTGCCTTGGCGGCTGGGCAGGGGTTTCCAGGCGTGCCCTGATGTGCACCAAACCCTTGTGCAGCACTGCAGGGATGAAGCTTTGCCCTTTCCCAAACAGAGATCAAAGGAAGCATGGACTTTGACTCCAGAGAGGACTCTCTGCTTTCATTCTCCACCTTTTAATCTATTGTAGTACAGCTATTAAGCCCAGGAAGAAGGAGATATTTAGGGAGAAAATTCAGCTACAGCCCTTGTCCCCCTTCTGCCTGCAGCTTTACATGCTGTGCCTCCCCGGCAGGAGGGACTCAGGCAGTGCCTCTGGGTTTCAGCAGCTTCAGATAATGACACCTGGCTGGTGGGGGACCCCTCATTATTGCAAAGGAGCGAACTGGGGGGTCTGCAGGGAAGGATTGCCCTTCTGCCGTCTGCGGGGCTGCACGGGGACGCTGGTGGCTGGGGGCCTGGCTGTGGCTGGCACACGGCGTCATCCGCGCAGCATCGCATCACCCCTCTCCTGCATGGGAACTCCCGCAGTGTGGCTCTGGGTGGACACATGTACCCAATCGGCCATGCCTCATTAACGGATTACACCATATTTACAGCAAATCACTACAGGAAAACAGGGCCTGAAACAGTGCAAGAGCAATTAGCTGCTAACAAGTCTTCATAGATAATCTACCGGACACTTGTTTCTCACTCCAACTCTAATTGCTG